GGGGTGAGCGTGTGCCGCGTGGGGATTGAGCGTGGCGAGAGGTGAGTGTCCGTGGCCTGGGGGCAAGTGTGCACGGTGGTGGGGGGGAAGTGTGCGGGGGGTGTGAGGCGAGTGTGTGTGGCGTGGGGGAATGTTCAGGGGGACTTGGGGGAGTGCACACAGCGTGGGTGAGTGCGCACAGGGCATGGGGGTGCACGGGGCTGTGGGCACGGGGTGAGTGTGCACAGGGTAGAGGAGCGTGCGTAGAGTACAGGGTGAGTGTGCAAAACACGGGTGAGTGTGCGTGGCATGGGATAAGCATACACCAGGTGTGGGGTGAAGGTGCACAGCACGAGTGTGCCCAAGTTTGGGTGAGCGCACAGGGTGTGGGATGATTGTGCATGGCATGGGTGAGTGTGCACGGGGCATGGGCATGTGTGCGCAGCATGCGTGAGTACGGGGGAGTGTGTGCAGCGCGCAGTGAGTATACATTTTGTGAGTGAGTGTGCATGGCAGGGGTGAGCGCGTGGGGTGTGAGGTGTGTATGGTGTGGGGTTAGTGTGCATAGGGCATGGGTGGGTGTGCATGGTGTGGTTGAGCATCCACTAGGTATGTATGGAGCAAGGGTGCATGACATGGGGTGCGTGTGCGTGGAGTATAGAGAAAGTGTGAGCGGTGAGGGTGAGCATCCATGGAGCGCGGGGTGACTGTGCACAGCCCGGTGTGAGTGGGCACTGGGTGTGGGGTGAGTGTGTGCAATGTGGGTGAGTGTGGATGGTGTGGATTGAGTGTGGTTGGTACATAGGGTGAACATGCAGGGTGTGGGGTGAGTGTGTGTGGCATGGCTAAGTGTGCATGGGGGATGAAGAGAGTGTGCATGGTGTGGGGAGTGAGTGTGCATGGCAGAGAGTAAATACATGGAGCATGGAGTGAGCGTGCACAGGGAGAGGGGTGTGCATAGCATGCAATATGTGAGGAGTGGGGATGAGTGTGCCTGTGGTGTGGGGCGTGCACAGGACGCCAGGGGTGCACAGAGGTATCAGGGTATGTGGATGGGGGCTGAGGGTGCATGGCACGAGATGCGGGTGTGCAGGAAAGTGTCCCTGCTGGTGCGAGGCACATGGGTGCCTGTCTGTGTGCACAGGGGTGTGAGCATGAGTGGCACGTGCTGGGGGTGTGACTCTGTGTGTGTGGGCACAGAGCGTGGCTGTGTACATCCCATGGAGGTGCCAGCCCCATTTTGGGCTCCCCCAGCCTGGTGCCAGGGAAGCAGTGCCGCAGGGCCGATGCCTTTGGAGGAGCTGTGGATGTGGCTCTGGCTTCCCTTGGTGGGGCCACCAAGCGCTCCCTGCCTCGGTTTCCCCACAAGCTCTCCTGGGCTGGGCACCCAGATTGTGCCCAGCTCCTTGGCACCATCCTCCCAATGTTCAGGCACCCCTTACCTTCCTGGTGCTGGGCAGGGGGTCTCCCATCCAGGAGCTGTGCAGTGGCCGTGTAGGCTGTCCCGCTCCCTTGGGGACAAGAGGGTGGCACTGGGAAAGCCCAGGGTAACTGGGCTCTCAGTGAACACTGTCTGCCCCAATGCAGCCCCTTCTTGGTCATGGGGATACTTGGTGTCCCCTGAGTTTGGGTGTCCACCCTGGGGCTGGGGGGGCTCTTCTTGGGCGCTGGCGGCTGGCAGGCTGTGCCCCCGCAGCTCCCCGGTGTCCCCAGCTGCCGCGGCCCACGCCATGCTGGTGTTCGCACCGTAAACAGCCAGGCGGCAGCTGGCAAAGCGCTCTCCCCCCGGGCAGGCACCGCGCGTCTCCGCGCCGGCACAGCAGCACTGGCGGGGGCTGCCAGCACTGCTTGCGTGTCGGTTCCTGTTTGCACCGGGGAGGAAAATGCGTTTCCTTTGGGAAATGAGTTGCAATCCCGGGTTGGGCCCGAAAGCTGTGCTGTCCCCCCTGTGGACTGTGGGTGCATGGGGGTGGCATCCCTGCAGACGTCCCTTTTGCAGTCCTGGGGGCGCTGGCTGTTCTCCTGCTCCCTGGCTCCACTCCCGAGTGGGCTTAGCCTGTGGGCAGGTGGGAGAACCAGCACGGGGCTGGCATCTACATTCCAAATTCCCTGCCCACGCAGCTTCGCAGGAGGGGGGTCACAGACCCTTCTGTCCCTTGGGCAATGCCCTGAGTGCACGGGGAGGTCCCTCGCACAGCATCGCCCCGGCACCCATCCCTCTTCCTCCATAACTGCTGCCCTCCTGGATCTCCCCTGGCACCGAGCAGGCAATGTGGGGTGTCCCACAGGAGGTTGGTAGTGCTGTCAGGACCCCCCCACTCAGCCACACTGCCACTGAAGGGGCCAGAGGATGCCTGTCCCTTTGCTGCAGACTTTGGCTGACGGGAGGGACAGTGTCAGGGCTTGGCAGAGCACACCAGGGGACTTGTGGGGGTGACACACACCGGACCCCAACGTAGGGTCCTGCCCTCCCCACCTCCTCCCACCCAAGACCTGGCTCCCGTGCTCCGTTTCCCCTTTGCACCCAGGTACACGCCGGCTGGACCCCCCCCTTAGCAGGTGGGGGGAGGCAGGGGAGCAGCCCCCTCTGCCAGGCAGCACCCTGGCTTGGGTCACCCAAGCAGGTCCCCGCTAACCCCTGCTTTCTCGGGCCACCCCAGGGTTTACACCCAGGCATGCGCTGCCCTTGGCCTGGACCCACCAGAGGGTGCTCTGGGGGCTCCTCTTGGAGGTCCCCCAGTGAAAGCGGGGCTCCTTCCCACCAGAAGGCAACTCTCACGGCTCTGGGGACCCTGGTGCCCGGGCTCCAGGAGCACAGATGTTTGTGTGTTCGTTAGGATCCTGCGCACAAATAAATGCCAAGGCAAATCAGAGGGGAAACGCTTTCATCCTCCTCCAGCCCTTAATGACATAATCACTTCCAAGAGAGGGTGTCTCACTCACACGCTGCTGCTGACTTGGGGAGGAGGCCGACCGCTGCGTCCTACCATCTCAGTGCTCGCAGCGGGGGCAGGCAGGGGGGACACACCTGTTTCCTCATGTCCCAGCAATGTCCCAGGGCTGAGGAAGAGCCAGGTGAGCCCTTTGCTCCAGCCTTTCTTCTGCGTTACACCAGCAAAGCCCTTAAGCACAAGATTGAGCATCTATTGTGGCTCTGATCTGTGGGGAATCGGGGGCCTATGGGACACCATCTGGCCCCTCCAAGCAGGGATGGGTGCAGGCAGGCATGCGAGGCTGGTGGAGGATGGTCCTGACGGGAGCATCAAGGCTCAGGGCAAAAACTGGGCCTTCTGTGAGCACTGCTTCTGTCCTTGTCACTGCTGCAGCCCCCCGGTTGGGGTCACAGGGCCATGGGGCTGTGGGACCTGCCACCTCCCAGCTTCTCTCCTGTCTCCAGTGCCCCTTGGCAGCCCCACACTCTGCAGAGGCCCGGCAGGGATGTGGGAAGCTCTCAGAGCTGGCACGAAGGGTGTTGCTGCTGCCCGGAGCCAGGGCAGGAAAGGTGATTGGGGGGGGTCCCTGGCAGAGAGCACTGTGGGTCCTGCCCTTGGAGCTCCCCTGCCCAGGCCAAAGCACCCAGGCAGGTCTCCTCCTTCAGCAGGTTACGTGATGCCCCAGCATGTGCTTTGTGCAGGGGACTGGGGAAGCATCCAGCCCTCTTCCTCTCCATCATCCCTTTCCTCCATCCTTCTATCCCTCTGTCCCTCCTACCATCTCTCTGTCCCTCCATCCCTCTTGCCAACCGTCCATCTCTACACCCCACATCCTCCTGCCCAGCCCCCAGGCTGCTTCCACTTTCCCTGCTCCTTTCTTCTTCCCTCGTGCAGGAGCAGGTCCTGCCAACACCCCACACCACAGGCTCCACACCCCCAGGAGAATGGGGCTGGCTCTTCTGTTGTCATCTCCATCAGAAGCCCTTTCCAGCACTTCTGCATGCAGTCCCTGACTCACTGGCTCCGTCACCTGCTTCCCTCCTGGCAGGTGCCCTCCTATAGCCCCTTCTGCCCTGGGATAAGCATCCTCCAAGCCCTGGACAATCATGCAGTGATTTTCATAGGCACTGGATGGAGGGTCTCTGGCATCTCCTTGGAGTAGGCATCTGGCTGGGACTTTGGGATGTCAAAGGATGACCCCTTAGAGACCCACGGCAGGGAAAGGCAGGCATTGAGATCTCTGTGCTGTACCACACTGCTCCCACTTGATCTTACCGACTGGCTGCAGGCCCACAGATAGGACCAGAGGGCAGCACGGGGAGAGACCAGTCTGCTCCAGCCAGCACTGTCCTGGCCATGCCACAGCCTTGGAAGTGCCGATGGCCCCTGGGACCGCCAGATCCAACCAGTCTGTGTGTGCAGGTGTGGGAGGATGGGGCAGCTCTGCTGACACAGATTGGGGCTGAAGGGGTGCGGCAGGAAGCTCTGGGGAAACTTAAAGCATGGGGGAGCAGGAGGATGGACAGAGATGGAGCAGCACCAGGACAGACACTCAGTCTGATGCCACCAGGACAGAGAGGAAGGATGCTGGGAGCTGTGTGGCTTGCAGTCTGCAGCAGGGCATGCAAGCCAGTTTGGAGGAGAAAGAGGAGGGAGATGTTCGCTGGGAGCCCATGCAGCCAGCCACGCACCCAGCCTTTGCTGTCCTGCAGCACAGCTCTCCTCGCTCCCCTGCCCAGCAGCACCCACAGGACCAGAGTGATGGCTGCGTGAGTCAGGGCTGGGCGTGGGGTCCGGGCGACCCTGCCTTTTGTGGCAGCGTTAGTCACTGTGCCAAGCTGCCCCAGCCCAGCAGCACCGGAGCCCCCAGCATCGCTGCCCTCCCTCTGGCTCACACCCCGCGACCTGCCCGAGTCTGCTTGCCGTGACTCAGGACCCAACCACACGGCCACCCGGCCGGCCCAGCCAGTCCTGGCTGCCTGGGGCTGGCGTGCTGGCAGGGCCCTGGGCAGTGGGTGCATGCCAGCCCCAGCGCTGTCACTCGGCCACGCTGCCCCTTGCGTCAGGGCGGAGAGGCAGGATCCGGCCGCCTCCAGCCATCCTCGGGAGCATCCTTGTGGTGAGGCAGACCTTTCCTCCTCATCCTCCTCCCAGCACCTGGCAGTGGGTGCCACAGTGGCAGCAGGCTGCAGGGAAGGGGTTGAAGCCTGGCTGTGGGTACCATCCTGCGGGAGCCTCGAATGCCAGGGCTGGGGCAGGCTCCCACCCATGCTGCCTCCACCAAACCACAGGGACTGGCCGTGCAGGGGGACACCCCGTGGCAGAGCAGCCATCGAGCTGGTTGGGGTGCTGGTATGACCGAGATGGGGGATCCCAGCCCTTGCACTGCCTCTGGCAGGGAGAGAGCGTCCCCAAAGGGCCAAGCTGCCGGCTGGGGCGGTGGGGAGGTGGCCGGCTGGGACTGGCCAAGCGCGTCTGTGCGGCGCTGCCCCGGGTGCCTCTCCCCTGCAGGGAGGGATGCACTGCCCCAGGGATGGGTGGAGGGTGCTGGTCCCCATGCAGGGTGAGCAGGGCATGGAGCTGCCTCAGCAGCCACTTCTCCGGCAGCTGTGCCCTCCGGGGTATGCATGGTCAGAGCCCCCTCCCCAGAGATGGAGGATGGCTGCTGCCTTCCTTACAGGGAAAGTAATGAGGCTGCGGGAGGGATTTGGATAAGGTGAGATGCTGGCAGTCAGGAACAGGACTCAGGAGTGGAGGGGTGTCTGCCCTGTCCTTCTGCTGGGGGGGGTCTGAGGGGTGCCCTGGTGGGGGGGCAACTCCCTGCCAGACTCCAGAGCCCACTGCCCTTGCAGATGATGCTTAGTGTGCACTGTGCCAGCAGACCTGGCACCAGAGTGTTGGGGTTGCACGGAGAGAGCAGGGGCCAGACACCAGTGCCAGAGAAGATCAAGAAAAAGGAAGGACACAGACCCCTCACATTGACAGGCAGCATCCCCAAAGAGCACATCTGGGGGTCCTTGTGCACCCCATCTCCTGCTCCTCAAGGGCTGGTGCCCACTGTCTGCACCCTGCTTTGGGTGCCCTGAGTCCCAGCACATCCCCTTGCCTGGGTGCTTGGAGACACTGCAGCAGGGCTGGCCTGGACACCCCGTGGGTGCATGGGTGACATCTGTCACTGGGATCTGGAGTGGGGACAGAGGAGGACAGTTGCTGACAGCTCCCTGGCGGGAGCAGCAGAGCCTGGAGAGGGAGTGTCAGAGGCCTCCCAGGACAGCAGGGCTGAGCAGGCAAGAGCCCTGGCCAGGACCCAGCTCTGCCGGCTGGGCAGACCCCTGCTCAGCACCCTGCAATGAGCAGGCAGAGGGACCACAACCACGAGAGGTGGGTTTGTCGGAGGTTTTGGGTGCTGCTGTCCAAACCTTCCCTCAGCTGAGCTGGTATCTGGGTTTCTCAGCCTCCCCCTCATAGGCCTATCTGTGTTACTCCAAACTTTCCTAAAAAGCTTCTTTTTTTGGCAAAAACATTCTATTTTTGGTCTCGGTCCAGAGGGATTTTTTTTCAAGTTTGATTGAATTAATCTGTCCGGCTGTTTTCAACTTGGGCAATTGAAGGGAAAATTGTGCTCTTCCCATTTGAAAGAAAATAAAATGAAACCATTAACATTACAGAGGTTTGGGATTTTTTTTTTTTTTTAACCCAAATATTATAAACTTCCTCTGTTTCCCTTGGGAAGATCATGCAAGTTTTGCAATGCAAACTGCCCAGCACCAGGGATCTGGGCTACACACTCACATGTACA